GGTCACGTGATAAATGTAATCACGTGACTTAATTCAAAACTAATATTAAAATAACTTGTACTTGTTGTTCTATTTGGGAAATTTAGATAAAAGTTTAAATTTTATAGTTTTGTAAAGATGCTGAAATATAATAATAATAATAAAAAAAAACCAAATGTTTTAAAATTAAAAAAAAATCTTATTTTATACGTATACTTTTAAATTAAGAATATTTTGCTTACTTATGTACGTGGTTATTGTTGACAAATATATAAATTTAAAAAAAAAGGTTCTGTGAGAAGAGCAAACGTTGCCAATATTAGTCGGAAAACATGAATGTATTTATCGTATGGTTATATATATATATGATGTCACATGAATTTATAAGCTAATGGGTTCAATTCATGATATTTACATGATAAAGATAAACACGTGTTCTTCACTGACTTCAAAACAATAATTAAACTAATTGTACTTATTCTATTTGCAAAACAAAATAAAATTTCGAATTTCATAATTGGATAAAAATGTTCGAGTAATGTGGAAAAAATTTAAAATTTGAAAAAAGTCTTATTTTATACATATACTTTCGAATTATGTATATGTTACTGATGTGTGTTAATATTGTTGACAAATATATAGTTTTTAAAAGAAAGTTTCTACAAAAGAAAAAGTTGGCAACAACGAAGCGCATGGACTGATTAGATGGAAACACATGATTGCTTTTACCGTGTGACTGACGTCACACGAGGTTTTGAACTGATTGTCTAGAAACACGTGGTTGTCATTATAATATGACTATGACATCACATGAATGTAGTCCTTTGGTTAGTTTGTTATTATCATTTGACTATGACGTCATATGAATTTAGTTCATTATCTGCAATAAAGAAAAAGAATTTCTTGAGTATTATGCAAATACCAGTGAAATATTTACTGTCGTAGAAAGTTTTAAAATGGGTTTCGAATTAAGATTTTAATTACCGCATAAAAGAAAAAAGAACCAAAAAAATCAATAAAATAAGCGTTTAAATTTATTTTTCCTTCAAATAATTTTCTTATGCATCTTACGTATCATATTCAAATTAATTAAAATCCTCATTAATTAAACTAATTATTAAAATAAAATTTGGAATAAAATTAATTTTTAATAATTTTAGTATTATTCCTATGATTAAACATAAATGCAATTTTTACAACACCAAAATTATTTATAATTCATTTTAAAACTTTTAGAAATATTCTAGTCAAATTTTAACTCAGAAAGCTAGTTTTAAAGGAAGATTTATTGAATAAATTGTTTATTGAAATAAAAAAATAAAAAAGTACAAAGGTTTTTTTCCAAGAAAAATCATAAAGTTAGGGTAAAAATAAAAAAAAATTTATAAATAGAAATTATTATTTTTCATTTATTCTTCTTGTAAATCTGTTCACTTTGTAAAGATTGATTATTATTTAGGGGGAAATTACCAGAAAAAAAAAGTTCTGTGGAAAGATATATAATGACAATATCTTAGTAATTTTTTTAAACAAAAAGATTTTATGTATCAATAATTGCTTTAGAAAGCATTATTTTAAATGCATACATTTTAATGCCAGTCGTTAAATATTAATTTTTCTCGAATGTTTATAAATCTATTTCAAATTATGAATGATAATATTTTTTGTATATATATTTAATGCAATATACAATAAACAATTTTTTAAGTGCCATCAGTATTTAGAATTTTCATATTTCGAAAAATGAATGAATGTATTATGATAAACTCTAAGAAATGAAAACACAATTTTTGCAATTTATTAGTAAACTAAAAGGATTAAAAAAAGTTAGAAATAATACATATTGTCATGAATTTCTGTTTTGGGGAAATACGTCCTTTTCTATATAATTTTCTATAAAGAAATTTTGAAACAAAAATAGTTAAATTTTCCCCGAGAATGGGGTTTGGGGGATATTTTTATGAATATATATTATATAATATTTTTATGCAGCCTTTCAGGTTGTTTCATTTAGCGAATGAATGAAAAGTATTAAAATTTTTCATTTTGGAAACAGTTGTTTTTATACAATGATCTACATGTATATAGAAGAAAGAAGACTCGCTCAGTCACTCATCACGAGATATCTGGAATTGTTAAACGTACAGACTTGGAATTTGGCAAGCATGTTTCTTTTGATGAGTGGAGATCCACTAAAAATGGTGTTTAAGGGAATCGACTAAGAGGTGGGTTACAGCCTGAAAATATATGATAAATATAATTCTGTTTTCGAATCTTTTCAAATCAAGAGGAGAGGGCTAAAAGAATATTTTTCACTAAATTGAAAGTTTAGACTAAAATATATGTATAGTCTTAGAATGCCATCAAATAGCCACTGAAGCGACCTGTTAAGGCTAGTATTATCCATAAAACAAGGAAATAATTTAAAAACTAATTAGTTATTTCTAAAATATATTATTGGTCATTTGATTTTTGATTACTCATATTTCTGTTGAGAAATTGTTCCACTTTGGTTACCATAAAATATATATTTCAATTTATATTAAAATGACTCTATACAATAAATTTATCTAATAAGAATATATATATATTTAGTTTCGAAAATGATGACGAAGAAAGAGCGTAAATGACAAGAAATAAAAAAAATGAGTTCAACTTATACAAAACATTAAGGCATTCATTTTATTCAATTTAATAAAATATTGGTGTAAAAAGATCATAAAAACTTGAGATCTCTTGAGCATTACAGTATTTAAATGGAAAAAAAATCATAGGTGTTTTGCTTTGATTCATTAGAAATTTATTACACCAGTTAAATGTCCATTGTACATCTATTGTTCTTTTTTGCTCAAAACATACTAATATCTACCGCAAGTTTGAGGCTCTATAGAGTAAATAAATTGGCCTAAGAGGCTCAGGATCATCAGGACTACAAAATACCATTTATATGTGTCTGCGAATTTTTTTTCTGAAGTCCTTAGACTACTCTAACTCTCCATAATATTCCCCAAAATTTGTCAAAAGTACGATTTTGTTTTTTTACGAATTTTACACGGGCGAAAATTTTTATGCAATCCTTTTATTTAAATAATCATGTTATACAAACGTTCCAATTTTATTGGTTTTATAAATTGCGTTACATTGGAAGACAGATAAAATTATTCTCGTGCACCACAAGTATCACAAATAAAATAAGTTAAATAAAATAAAAGTAACAAAACAAAAAAGTTAGGAAATAATGAAATAACAAAAACAAATAAGTTACAGGAACAAAAATACATTACAAATAAACCAATTTCGAAACAAAACCAATACAATGAAGTTAAGAGAAATAGAGAAATAAAAAATTTACAAAAAAATTATAAAATCAAATCAATGAAGATACAAAATAAAGTGAACGAAACTTTACTTGAAACAAGTTGAAAAAAAATTAGGAGGCTATTTAATTTTAAGAACATGCAGTTTGAGTTTCAGGCATTTTCTTTCTTTCTTAAATTTTGAACAAAAGAGGATAAAATGCTCCATACTCTGCTCCTCACCATCATTACAGTCACAAAGTTTGGAAGGACACAGGTTAAACCTATTGAGGTACACTTTAAAATTACCATGACCAGCAAGGAATTGCGTGATTTTATTATTTGTAAAAAAGTGATCACAAGATAGTCTTTGTGAAATGGTTAGAAAAAATTTCTTTGTCAGAAAAGAGTGAGGTGATTTTGTGTATTTCGTTCCAAAGAGAGACAACGTTTTCTTCAGTTTTTTTCTTCCAGAACGCTTTCAGAATATTAACTGGAATTTCAATCCCCGTTTGGTTGCTGATTTTGCCAAGAAATCAGCCCTTTCTTTTCCAAATATTCTAGTATGGCCCCTTAGCAAAAGTAAAAAACACTAGGATATTTGAATCTTTAAGAATTTTAAGGTTCTTTTGAAATTCCACACGAATATTATTACAAGATGAAATATTTTGTAGTGTTTCTAAGGAAAAAAGATTCCGTTGATTGTATTATCTAACAGTGCAAGGAAAATATTAATTAATTTGGCAAAATGTACGGATTACAAAAGCGAAGGATTAAAGTGAAATATCCTGTTTATAAATTGATGATGATTGAAAGATATATATTGAAAGATATGTATTGAAATTTGATTTTATTGGAAAGGTGCATTTCCAGCCAATTTATATCAGTTTCACAAAGAGAATGTTATTATTAGTGTAACCACATTCAGATAAAGAATATCTTCAAACAGACATAGAAAATCAGGAATCTGATTCACAAAGCAAACGCAAATTTTAAAATATGTTTTATGTTTTTAAATGATAGTTCTTTGTCGGATAATGACATGACGATGAAATTAAATGCTGTTAAAAAGTTTTGGTTCGAAAAGCATTTAAATAAATTAAAATTAAGCGTACATTTTCAGAAGTTAAAAAGGTTTTTAAATTTTTACATCTTTTCAAATCGTTGTACCATACAAATCTGTATCTAAATCAGACTTATAATGATTCAACCCTGGAATACCTGCCATACAGAGGGAGCCGATGCACGTTTAATATGTCGAAGCTCCAACGTTTTCTTGTTGGTGTGGTGTGGACGTCAAGTGCCAAGAGTCTTCGTACAGCTTTGTAGTGTGACGTTATTATAGCTCTCACGCATTCACTCAACAGTGGAATTAGACAGTAGCCCCCTACCCGATAAGTTTTTCCACAGTTCCTACTATTAGTTTACTCTCCCTATATATATATATATATATATATATATATATATATATATATTTATTTATTTGCACACACATATATAATATATATATATATATATATATCCTGTTCAAATCTTCAATCGTTAATAAAATACTTTCTATTTATCCATTCAAGTTCAAATACATTTTTTTAAAACTTGTAGTTGATGGCACTTGATGTTAATACAGTTTTTTCAAATATTAAATCATTAATTAAATTAAAGAATAAATAGTAATAAAAAATATTAGTCTTACAGCATATATAGAAAGGAAAATCGTTTCATTGTATCCCTGTAGCACAATGGTTAGTCCGTTAGACTTCTAATCCAAAGATCATGGGTATGAATCCCACTTGGGATGGCCTAGTTTCTGAGAATGTGATTTCTTTTTATTATACTATTTTATTATAATAATTAAACTTAATTATGTATAAATAGTAACAAACAAAAAGTAGTCCAACACCCTATATAGAAAGAAAAATGGAAAATTGCATGGAAAATCGCTTTCTATTTTGCCACAATATTGTAATTCGGTCATATATATATATAAATTTATATTAGTTGTAATTTTTTAATAAAAAGTAACTAAAATAAAATTTTATTTGTTGACCGAAGTAGGAATTGACTTAAAAAATATTTTTTGCTATTACTTTTTGAAAAAAACAATCCCATTTGGGAAATTTTTGAGTGACGACTTTAATTTGATTTTTTCATCCAATTGAAATCCTATACAATGTTAAGTAATCTGTCTTTAAAAAGAGGGGAAAAAAGTATTTCTTCTAATAAGCACGGTATAAAATTACTTTCATTTTCGATTTTGATATCTTGGTCTTAAAAAGGTTTTTCCCCTTGGGAAAAAAATTTTTCCCCTTTGAATAAAAATCCTTTAAAAATTCAGTACAAGGGTCTTATTTTGTGTATTTTTGACATATCGAAAAAATTATTGCATCAGTTTTGCTTTTGATGATTAAAACTGCTACTTAAATCATTTAACTTAACTTTTATTTAAGGTGATTACAACACATTATTCTGTTTTACAATAAACCTCTTCCAAGAATTTAGAAAAGGAAATTTTGAACGATTAATTATCGTTTCAAACATACTACGGAACAAAATTACGAAATTTAAAAAGACTGTTATTAAATTAGACCTGCAGAATATTAAACAGACCATAGGATAATTAAAAAAAACCTTTGACTTAAAGCAGTTTCTCCCCTTTTTGCTCACTCAAAAAGTATCCTTTGATTTATCAATTTTTGAAATTTGTTGCAATAAGTTTATATTGGCTAAAACCCCAGAATTTGAAAAACAGTAACAAAAATTTTAAAAAAAGTTTTTTTTTTAAAATTTATTAAACCATAAGGTAATAAATACATGCTGCTCTGTCTATACCAATCAAGACATTACTGATTGGATAAGACTATCCTAATTAGTCCATTTGTATGCAAATGAATACATAAGCCTTTCTTAAAAGGAAGGAGTGTAAATCTTGAAATGTAGTACAGTTAAAATTAGAAATGGTTAAAATAAAGCATTTTTTTCTTAATTTCATTTAAATGATGCAAAGTAATTTTATTTTATTTGTACCGAATTCTTTCACAAAATCTTAATGTTTATCATTATGCATATTACATTTGAAGGCATATCTTTGAATAAAATTTATTCATGTATAATTTATACATCTACTTTTATTTAAAAATACCCTTAAGCACTTCTTAGTGACATAATATATTATCATTCTTTTTGTATGCATTTAAGCAATGAGATTGGTAAAAATATTACTTCAAAAGACTGAATTTATTATATGTGTTCATATAAATACTCTTTAACTCAGTCCTTCTCAAACTTTCGATGTTCGCGACCCAATTTTTAATAACAATTTTCATCCGCCCCCCCCCAAAATAACAATATATTGAATCAGTATAATGTACAGTATTTTTGACCAAAGCCAATACGCCTTGATTCTCAACCGTACAAAATATCCAGATAAGATTTTTGTAAAAATTTTTTTATTATAAATCCATGGAAAAATCACTAGTAATTATTAAACTTGTTCTTAACTTAGTTTTTTGATACTTGTTCGTTATTGATTGTTCCGTACTGAAAATTTATAAGCATGTATATCGAAAAATTATATTTTATTTTTTATTTTGTTAGAATATATTTTGTTTTGCTTCCATTTATTAAATTGATAATTTTAAATCTTTTATTTCCGAATGTTCGAAATCCCCCTTGAAGGGTTATCCGCCCCTAGGCGTTTTAGAAACACTGCTTTAACTCTTAAAATTTTAAAATTAAAAGAAAATTCATTTTTTCCCCCCACACACACACAAACACTGGCAATGTTCTTGTATACAGTTAATTACTTTTTTGCTATTTATGTTTTTAATATTGAAAACAAAAACAAAGTTTTAAAAAATGCTTCAAAAATGTCGGTTGTGATTTGTGAATATATATTTTTAATTCAATTCATTGAGAGAGAGAAATCATTTATTCGTGGATTGTCAAATATCTTCAGGAACATTTATTTACAACGGAGGTTTAGTTCTCATTATAATAGCTTTAACAGGAATGTCAACTATCAAACACATTTTAAAAAGGGAAAAAGGGACATTAAAATATTTTATTTTTCAACCTGAAAGGAACTCTTTCAGAATAAATGTCAGACTTTTGTACAAATGAAAAAGAAAAGAGAGGAAAATTCTGAAACCTTTTTGTCTGTCTATCAATAGAGAAAATCGACGTTTCTGTTCTTTTCAAGGAAAAAAAACCCTTTTAGAAAAGAAAACATTGAAGACAAGAGCGAAACTTTCTACTCTAATGATAAAAGTGCTGTTTCCGCTAGTCCTCTTGACCAAAAAACACCAAACACTACCTACTGAAACTGAAAGACAGAGTGCCATTAACCAACATTTTCGCCGTGGCAATTTAAAGGGTAAGTCAACTTTGTTTCTTCCCAAATTTTTGTCCCGACTCAGGGTTCGTCGAAGGGTGCTTCCCAACAGAACGATAATTTGTTCCTGGGGAGCTCAGTTGAGAACAACTTCGACGGGATAGTTTGAAGAGAAAGAAGAAAAAACTTCTCCAGTTAATTAAATTCGTGGAGCTCGTTAAATATTTATGGTTATTTTAGAATTCCTGGCCGCTAAATAGAAGAAGGTCTTAAGGCTTTGGAGTCTTTGGAAGAAGTTTACAAATGACCAACTTTGGGATCTTTTAGTGAGTAGCTTTCAAAAACAAACTTTGCCTTAAAAGTGTTATCAATTTTAAGATTTTTATTTTCAGTTATATTCCCTCTGCCTCTGTGGGGAAATGGAACTTTTTCATTGCCTAGACATTAAATTAACTTTTATATTCATCGTTAATTATACTAGATTTGAATTTTAAAAAAAGCAAAATTTTCTTGAATTAAAGTTCAACGAGAATAGTTAAAACCCTGATTAATTTGACCCCATGAAACTGGACATTGTTTAATACGAAAGTCATCTAAAATGAGTTAGTAGGGTTATTCATAATTTCTTCCGGGGTTATTATTGCGCTATTGTAAAAAAAGCCATGATAAATACAACAAAAAAGAATATTTTAAAAAAACAGGAACAATTCAAGTTTTATTTTCTGCTTTCTAGATGTTCTATGAGAGAAACATTGGTTATATACACGTCATAAATCAATTCAATAGTCCAGGTGAGGCTTTTGCCCGCTTTTGCCTAACCACCGGACATGGACTTTTTGGGAGTATACCTCCACTGGCTTGGCCTGGTTGCTGACGAGGCTTGCCCACTCTGCGGTCATGCCAGAATGGATGGCGACCACCTGCTCCAATGCACTGGACTCGATGAATACCCGACAGACGACTCAATTGGTACTGCGAGGCTCGACGTCAAATGGTCAACACGGGCGTTGGATAAATAAATAAATAGTCCAATTCCGTCCCCACTCTACTCACCATGGTTACTATCAACGTTATTGCAGGATGTATTCTTCTTCCATGCAGTCCTCCAACAACACTCAAGGGGGGGTGAAAACTTGGTCTTACGTAATAGATCAAAATTTCGGATAACGCGGAAAGGATCTTGTCAATAACGTTGATAGCACCATGTTGAGTAGAGTGGGAAACTGGACTATTGCATTGATATATGCCATGTAACCAAGGTTTCACTTCCCTTATAAAATACTAAAATACAAGGTGTTACTATTAAATAAGGATACTGACTCTGTTACAGAAAAAATAGTACTCGCCAAATGCCAGCGACCGCCAGCCATTTAGCGTGAAACCTTCTCTTTCGAATGCAGTACTTCTCGTTTCTGTGAACAAACCCATATAGCCGTATTCTTCGTTCTCATCAGAGTCATTTTGTTTTTTGATTTTGCTGTTACAGAGAAAATAATACTCGCCATACACCAGCGACCACCAGCTATTTAGTGTGAAACCTTCTCTTTCGAATGCAGTATATCTTGTTTCTGTGAAATATCGTATAACCTGAGCCGTTTATTAGAATCATTTTTTGTTTTGTTTTGCCGAAAGGGTAGGTACTATAGGAAAGAACTGGAAATTTTCATGCGAAAACCGTTGCCAAAATTATAAATTTAGAAAAAGTGTATAACAACGAATTATTGAATTTTACATAGTTTTAAAGTAGTTTCGAGTTTTAAATGGCAAGAACGTTAAAAATTTCATTCGGTAACTTTTTTCGCCAAAAGGTGTGTTTCCAAAATGGTAAAAAATTATTCGTTGACAGAAATTAAATTTAGTTTCATGAGACTCTAGGAATCGACAAAGAATCCGTCATCAAATTTTACATATTAATTTTAGCATGCAAAAAGTGTGTGCCAAAATGGTGCCTAAAATTATAACGTTCGTACAACAAGAAGTTCGAAATAATGTTTGCACTGACACTTTGAATGACATTTAAAGTAACCCAAACTTATTGAAAAAGATAATAACATGTGGCGAATCGTGGTTTTTTATTTAAAATCCAGAAGAAAAGTGCCAATCCATCCCGGGAAGCCCCCGCTTCCCAAGAGTAAAAAATGCAAAATGAGAATAAAAATTTTGCAATGTTAATTGTTTTTGAATTCAAGAAAAATTATAAAGATATTCATATATGAGATTGTATACCTTCACCGGTTTCAAGAACATCACATACACACTAACTAGCAATCAATACTACTTCACTTTCTCGCCGAACTTCGTGAAAGAATAATCAAGAATTGTAGAAGTCATGGGTTAAATACAAAAACAATGCGCTAGTTCATTCCGCATTGTCTGTCATAAAGTATCTTGCCAAGTACAGCACCCTAGTGTTAGACCAATTTTATTCACCGGATCTTATACCGTGTAACTTATATCTGTTTCCTAAG